TGATTTTAGAGAGAGAGGAAAGAAGAGGGTTAGAGAGTTAGAAACATTGACGAGAGAGACATGTTGATCGCCTGTCTCCTGCACACCCCCCACAGGGCATTGAGCCCACAACCCCTGACTGGGAATTGAACTAAGGACTTCTCAGAGGTTGATGTGCAACTACTGAGCACACACAGCCTGGGCTTAAGCTACAAAATTGTTATTAGATACAGGCCAAATTCACTACTTGTAACTTGGGTGAAAGAGAGGGAGTTTTTCAGAGTTTCCTAATACCAAGAAACTGAGGCTTGGAGTATTTTCTCCACACAAACTCAGTCGATGAGGCCTTTCCTACAGCTTCCTCTCATCCCAAGTCTACTATCCTCTTCTTTTGAAAAACAGAACCAGCCGAAACCGGTTTGGCTCAATGGATAGAGTGTCGGCTTGGGGACTGAAGGGTCCCGGATTCGATTCGGTCAAGGGCATGTACCTTGGTTGCGGGCACATCTACAGTGGGGGTTGTGCAAGAGGCAGCTGATCGATGACTCTCTCTCACCGATGTTTCTAACTCTCTATCTCTCTCCCTTCCTCTCTGTACAAAATCAATAAAATATATTAAAAAAAAAAATAAAAAACAGAACCAATATATTACACCTGATCTATCGAGCCACTTGTTCTATTGCTTGAAATCAGAGGATGCCACCGAAAAGCCTTTTTTGTTTGTTTGCTAAAAACAGTTGGGTAATATTAACAACAAATCCCCCAAATCATATCTTTACATCCACATGTGATCATACACTGGTATAGGAAACCTTCCTGAAACTCAGTGTCTCATGCTCCCAAAATTAAGCCTGAAATATGTTCATCAGGAAGAAACCAAATGAGCTGGAGACAGAACATTTGCTTTATTGGGGGGAGGGGAAGGACAAGGGGGGGTGTCTTCTATCTGTTGGTATTCCATAGCAACACAAACTCAGGATCACTGAAATGTTTAAGGACCACAAAGCTTTTAGTTGGATCTGGGCACACAGTCTAGTGAATCCGCTGAGTGAGTGTAGGTGTGAAATAATTTAATTGAATTCTGTAATTAAAGTTTAAAAAATATAATTTTATCTTTTAACTCCCCCCACACACACACACACAAAGTAGGATAACTTCCCCTTGTTAAGACACCAGTAAGTTTTCTTGAAATTCTCATTCGTGGTCTCTCCTCCAAAGATGTTAGCTTGCTCTTTTTTTTTTTTTTTTTTAAGAATTCATGCTTTAATGAATTTCAAATGGATTTTGTAAAAAATAAAGGAAAATGTCTAACTTTTTTTTTTAAAAGAACTTATGTAATTTATCTCTGAACACAGTGAAGAAAAGGGGACAATTAACATCTACCGTGCACCTGCTTTATGCCAGACATGTCACATTCATTCTCATGGCAGCTTGACAATAATATTTCATAGTAAATTTAGTTCGGATGTTAGTGACAAGAAAACCAAAGCTCAGAGAGGTTAAGCTAGCCACTCTAGGTCAAATGGCAAGTTATAAAACTAGGGTTGAAACTAGAGCTGCCTGGTTCCAAAGCTCAAGCGCTTTCTACTCTACCAGTGGAGTGTAGTCTAGTGGGGGGGGGGGAGATCCACTCCTGAAAGGGCCTTTCCATTTTAGGCATAAAAGAGTTTTAGTTACAAGTCTCTGGAGCCTCTACATTTCATTTGGTATTTTCCCTGAATGCCACCCCGCCCCCCCCCCCCCCCCACACACACACCCCTCCACCCCACACTTTCAATTGAAATTCAGCACCGAGGACAGCTCCCAATTCCATTTGCAGGGAGCTGTCCTTGATGGCTGCTCTGGAGCTCACACCGCCTTCCTGACTTCCCAAGTGGCACCGAGACAGAGAGGAGGAGATGTAAGAAAGTGTAAGATGGGGTCCTCTGGCGCCATGGTGGAAATTAGCACGTTTCCCGGAAGATCGAGATAAAAAAAAAATGCATGTGAGAAGAAAAATGGAACCAGACAGATGGGGCACTCAAATGGAGTCAGAATGAGCCCCTCAGGATTCCCAGAACACGGCGTGCGTCCACCTGGGGCTCTCAGCGGACCTGGGAGCCCGGAGACAAAGGGGATGAGTGGGTGGCTGTGAGGCGGCTGCGTCAGTTACACGAACAGACTGGGTGGCGCTGACTCACTGCTGCAGAGCTGCACGACTTTCCGAGCAGAGGGAAACCTGTGGGCCCTGGTCTCTGCCACTCATCGCCTCCCTCGCCGGGAGCATGAGTCAGACCGGCGGGATCCTTCAGGCAGAGAAGATTGCTGTGCGGTGAGTCGATCGAGGGTGAGCTTTCCTGTTGTGGAGAGCAGGTGTCAATCACGGACACAGCATCCCCGGAGGTGGGCGATGACCTGCTGTGTGCACACACACTCACCCTGCCTGCCTTCCCATGCTCACCTTGGACACAGGTGGTTCATCACACAAACAGGAAGAACAAAGTCCTGGGACCTTCATCTCCCTGAACAGTGATTCTTGCTCAAACTTAGCAGCTTTTGAGCTGAACCGGGGGATGGCGGGGGGCGGGGGGGCAGGAGAGGTATTTTTGGAGAGCCCGTAAATAATGTCCAAATCTTCTACACAACAAACATGTCCAGAGAGGGTGCCTGACTCGCCCCAAACCACTTAGCTGGTGACATTGTTGTTATTAGGCCTCGGTCCCTTGTTCCTAAGCCCTCAGGAAGACAAAATAAAACCCCCAATAGCATCCGCCCTTTTACCTAAGGCCCTCTCACTGTACCGTGTTCAAACAAAACATCTTAAATGCCTCCGTCTTTCCATCTGGGCTTTGGTGTTGTCCCTGATTGGGTCTCACATAGCAATCTCTTTTGAGAAATGTAATTATTTGGGGATATACACTTGGTTATTTTTTTTGTTTTGTTTTGTTTTGTGCTTTCTTTGTGCAGGGGGAAATTAGAATTCTGGAAACACTCGGTTTTATTTAATTATTAAAGGAACCAGCCTGTATTTCAAGTAGCCGCAAATATAAATGCTTCGGCCTGTGTCAAGAAAGGATATATGGAGCAACAGAGGCTGTGGCGCTCTATTGTCACATGCGATTAAGATCCACCATGGCCTAAAAAATAAAAATAAAGATCAGCCCAGTGAGTTGAAAATTGAAAGTGAAATCCTTATCTGGGTAATTCTGAACCTGTCTGGATTTTGGTGCCTCGTGGAATCATCTAAAATGTAGCGTTTTATAAAAGTGCTTTGCAGCCTCGTTACCTCCATGATTGCAATTTGTGTATGTGGGAAGCTCCTTTAAACTTTTGGAGTTTTCAAGGGGCTGGAGTCAGAAAGATGCAGAAGAGATGAATCTATTCAAGGTCAAAGGTACAATGTGAAGCTGATATCCGCTCTGCTGGTGAGGCAGACCGAAAGAGACATTAGCCCAATACCCCCACCCCCACCCCCAGGCCCACCCCACACCTTTTCCACTAATGAGTGCCCTTCCCTGAGCCGTCACCCAGCTCTTTGTCCTCTGCTTCGGGTGTTATTAGACCAGACTTCCTGTCTCTAATTTTCATCCATGAAGAGATTTTCATGAATAGGACTTTCCTTATAACTTAGCAACACTGTCCTTGAATATCCAACAACTCTTTCCATCACAGAAGCTATTGTTTGAAGTGCAAAGCAGATCAAAATCGGGTTGCTGAGGATTAATCACTGCAGCCTACTTTATATCATCATCACAACTTCATCTATTTCGATACAGTTTGACACAGCATCAACCTCCGCTTCTGTGCGCAAGTGACAAAACCATTTGTTTCTGGCGTAACGGATAATGTGATTAATGGCCTTGCAACTGGGTTTCTTAAAAAACAGAGAGAGAAAAATAAGGATTTCCATTTATAACATGCAGTAAACCAGCTCAGCCTGCTGCTGTGCATTGGAAAATCTCTTGGAACTTGTGTGTAAACCACAGGCAAGATTTTGAAACAAATGTGTGCCTATCTTTTGGGGTTTCTGCCCATATCTGTTCTCTCCAAGAATCTGAGGACAGGGGGCCTCAAAAGGAGAAACTGGACCTGTGCGCACCCCATATACCAGCGCATGGGCGGGGCCCGGTTTTCCTCGGAGGCACCATGATGATGACTGCGGTGGAATGAACCCCAGCCCGTCCAGCTATTGCTGAATACGGTCACCATCTGCTGGACTGTGGACAGCTCTGCGCGTGGCCTTGACCCTGGCCCCACTCCATCCATGCCTGTTGCACGCAGGTGTCCCTCTTCACAGTGCCTGCAGCCTGTGTCCATCCCCGCGGGCCTGAGGATCTCCCGGAGGCGGGGACAGGGACGCGGATGCGAAGGGTGTCTAGGGAGCCTCCTGCGTCTCCTTCCCGCCTTCAGGGCCAAGTGGCAGCAGCCCACACCAGCCACGGTGCCCCCAGGCCACTGCCCTGGGCCCCAGACCCTCCTGGGATTGCTCACCTTTCTCCCTCGGGAAGTGGGCGTCAGCCCCCTCCAGCTTTGGGGCTGCGGCGCCCGCTAAGCGGGTCCTCCTGCCGCGCTCGGCGCCCAGCAACCTCGCCTGGGGCGCCGGGCACCCGGGGGCTCCCAGCTTCTCTCGGGCGCGACGTCGGCCTCCTCGGGTGAGTCCAAGGGGCACCCGGACTCGCCGGCCAAGGCTCCTCTCAGGGCACCCGGGGATTTAAAAACCGGCCCCTTTTTCCGGGGGGAGAGCTTCTGGGGCTCGCGCCCCCGCGCCGGCCCGCGGGGAGAAGGCACCCCGGCCCCGCCCCTCGCGTGACGCGCGCCCGGCCGGGCCAATCAGCGCTCGCGGCGTCGGCCCCGCGCGCCGCCGCCCCCCGGCTTAAGAAAGGGCGCGCGGGCGGCCGGGCCAGAGCGCGGCGTGCGGCGGCGGCGGCTCCGCCAACTCCGGCTCCGCTGCCCTCGAGCTCCGCGCCCGGAGGAGCTCCCGGCCGCGCGCCCCGACGGCGCCCACCCGCCGGGGCCCGAGCGAGCGCGGCGGCGCCGGGGCGATGCTGGCGCTGCTGGCCGCCGGGCTGGCGCTCGCCGTGGCCGCGGCGGCGGCGCAGGACGGCCCGGCGCCCGGCAGCCGCTTCGTGTGCACCGCGCTGCCCCCGGAGGCCGCGCGCGCCGGCTGCCCGCTGCCCGCGGCGCCCGAGGAGGAGCTGCGCGCGGCGGTGCTGCAGCTGCGGGAGACCGTCGTGCGGCAGAAGGAGACGCTGGGCGCGCAGCGCGAGGCCATCCGCGAGCTCACGGCCAAGCTGGCGCGCTGCGAGGGGCTGGCGGGCGGCAAGGACACCATGGGCGACCTGCCCCGGGACCCCGGGCACCTGGTGGAGCAGCTCGGCCGCTCGCTGCAGGCCCTCAAGGACCGCCTGGAGAGCCTCGAGGTAGCGGGGCGCCGGGGGCCCGAGGGCGGGTGGGGTGTGGGGGACAGCTGGGCGGGAGTGGGGCGCTCGGTCCTGCCCGCGATGCCACGCGGGAATGGAAAGGAGCCGGGTTTGGGGCGGGAGTTCTAGATCCCACCGGCGCGGCTCGAACCCTCCACCCTGGAAGTCCCCTCCGCGCGCCAGGGCAGCCCCCGGGGCGGCCATTCACTTCGTGAGGTTCGGGCTGGCCGACCCGGACGGCCTGCTCTCTCCTTGCAAGTCTCCGCGTCTCCCGGGAAGAGGGGGGGGGCGCGCTCCCGGAGGCTGTTTCGGGGTGACCTGAGGCTGCATTTCCGTTATTCAGTCAGGTCCGAGTGGTCCGGAGCGGGCAGGGGCCTGAGGGGGTGAGGGGAGGGCGCCTGGCGGGACGCGAGCGCAGCGCGGGTGGCGGGTCACCGGCCGCACCGCCCGGGACTCACCTTGGAGGCAGCGGGTTAACTTCAAAAGCATCTGCTGGAGAGCCACGCGGACCGAAGGTGCCCTTCCCGCGTGCCTGGTAGGAAAGGACCTTACCCAGCCTCTCTCGGAAGGCGGTGCCCTTTGGAACTTGAGAGAGAAATCTCCCTTTCATCCCCGTCGCTGCTACCAAGTGGGGACGTTTCTGTGCAACACGTTTACCCAAATCCTCCTCCCCAAAGCCAGGTTTCAATGACCCGCGGTGATTAGTGCAGCGTTGCTGGAGGATTGCCTGGGGTGATGGGTACAGACAGCATCTCCAGCGTCTGCCTGTTCCCGAACTCACTGTGATGGGTGACAGCTAGCCTTTGGGAGCACTGAAGTGTAGACAGAGTATCTAACGGTAACCAGACACACACACACACACACACACACACACACACACAGAGAGAGAGAGAGAGAGAGAGAGAGAGATGGTTTGGTTAGGACTCCTCCCGAGCCCTATGGGAATAGGGGAGAGACAGGAACAGGCAGGAGAGGTAGCTCAGGATGTCCTGCCTCAGATCTCCCGTGTCCAGGGATGTCTCCACACGCAGCGTTTGGGACACCCCAGGTCTGTTTCCGTTTCTAGATGAAAGCGCATCCACGTTGAGGACCGTTTGACTAACTCAAAAAAAAAAAAAAAAAAAAAAAAAGATCCTGGCTGTGCTTGAGGTTTTGCTGGAAAATGATAGATGTTGGTTGACATTTTCTAGTTAGAGGTGCCAAAATTGATTTTTTGGGGGGGGCGGAAGATGAGATTCCCAAGTTCCAAATACTGCCGCAAAGTAATTGTCTGACTTTGAAATCCTTTCCGTACCAAAAAAAAAAAAAAAGCCTCTGAAATGCTTGGAAGCAGCTCCCTCTGTGCGGGCCGTCAGAGCTGGTCCCAGTCTCTCTCTGACCGCCTTCAATGCTTCTCCCCCCCGCCCCCCCAGCACCAGCTCCGAGGGAACGTGTCTAGCGCCGCGCTGCCGCCCGGCGACTTCCAGCGGCGGCTGGGGGAGCTGGAGAGGCAGCTGCTGCGCAAGGTCGCGGAGCTGGAGGACGAGAAGTCCCTGCTGCACAACGAGACCTCGGCGCACCGGCAGAAGACCGAGAGCACCCTGAACGCGCTGCTGCAGAGGGTGAGCGAGCTGGAGCGAGGTGGGTGCCCTGCTGCCCCGCGTCCCTGTGGCCCGCTGCCTCGCGCTCCTCCAGCCCCCCCAGCCACCCCCCCACCCCCGCTTTGGTTCTCGGCTGCAGTGTCCGGGAAGCTGGGCTCAGAGCAGGGAGGGCAGGCAGAGAGGAGCCAGCCCGGGGTGCTCTTGTCCATTGACAGACAGGCCACCTGGGGGAGGGCGTGGCTGCTCCCGGACCCCCACCTGCTGACTCTGTTCCCAGGTGGTCCCGCTGAGATGGGCTCAGAGGCTGTGCCTCGTTGGCCCCAGGGCTGCTTAGCCTTGTCTGCCACCGGCAGCCTCTGATGCATTGGCCAGGCCCTGTAATGCCTTCGTTGGTTTTAGCTAAGTTTCTTCTGGACGTCCCAGCTGTGCGGTATAAACGGAGGGCACTGGCTCCGGTAGGACGGGTCCCCCCGCCCCGCCCCGCCCTAGGCTCTCCCGGCTCTGATTAAACCCATCTGCCGTTCCCAAGCCCACGGCATTACCAACACGCAGCCTTATTGAGTTGACAAGCCCGCCCACCTGTAAGGGCCGAAGCTATTTCTCTTTATTAGATCATCACGCCTTCGTGAAGCGCAGGGGCACCTGCAGGTCACAGACTTGGTGACTGCACAGAGTAGAAAGAGGGGCTGCTGTTCGCCGCTCTGCCATTCCTTCCTGAGGGCCCTGAGCCGTGGTGCAGGTCAGGGGTTGGGGCTTCCTGGTCTTCTGAGTTTTGCCTTAGCCTCTTGTGGGGCCTTAGAGCCTGGCCCGGCCTCACCCTTGGCTCCCGCTGGTGACCGGGTCTCCTCAGCCCTCGCCAGGTGGCCAGCAGCCCTGCAGCCCTGCAGCCTGGGTGGCAGGCGCCCTACGGGGGAGGTCAGGGTGCATCTGGCAAGACTACACAATCAGCCCTAACCGGTTTGGCTCAGTGGCTAGAGCATCAGCCTGCGGACTGAAAGGTCCCAGGTTCAATTCTGGTCAAGGGCACACATTGGTTGCAGGCATATACCCATAGGGGGTGTGCAGGAGGCAGCTGATCCATGTTTCTCTATCCCTCTCCCTTCCTCTCTGTAAAATAAATAAATAAATAAAAAATATTTTTAAAAAAAGACTCCACAATCCACAGAGAGGAGTGAGACCACACATGGAGCCCAGATTCAGGCACTCCTATGCTGCCTGCTCCCAAGAGGTGGGGAGGGTAACGCTGGGCCCTCAGCTTTGCTTTCAGAAGCTCTTCCCTGGCCGGCGTGTTATTGCTGTGACAGAGAGGGAGTTTGGGGGTCACGGTGGAGAAAGCTCAATCGTTCTGGCTCCTGTTCTACAGGAGGGAGGAAGGGACTCGCTTGGTTCTGGGTTCTGGGAGCCGGCCCGTCCCTGGTGGCACATGGGGACCATCTGGCCTCGTGGTGCCTAACGAACACTTGTCCACGGAAAGCATTTAGGCTCCTCCCCTGACAGCAGCTGGTCCCCAGATCAGAGGGGAGCTTTTGGCCTGACAGCTCACAGAATCAGGGGGTACCCTGCAAACGTTTGAACCTGGTGACCAGAGGCAGGTCCTGCGTCCTATGTGTTTATTTTATGTGAACTTAAATCCAGGCTGCACTGAAAATTGCTTAGGCCCATGTGAGAGTACCTGTCACTTTAAAGGATTTTGAAAGCACCATTTACCTGGGGACAGCCAAGCAGATTCTCACCAGTCCCAGGTGGGCCCAGGGGAGGGTCTAGGCTCTGGTCAGTTGTTACCCAACTGGAGAGGAAAGGGCAAATCCTGAGCCGCGCCACGCCACAAGCCCATCCCTGTCAGGATTTATACAAAGGCCACGTCTGAGCCAAGTTGTGGAGTCAGGACACAATCACCTGACTCTGTTGCCCTGGCAGCGGTGGCTCGTTCCTGGGAGAAGTGACAAAGGCTTGCTGCTGGCTTCACACGTGTCTGTCGAGTGCCTGGGACGCTGTCACGTGTCCTGCCTCCATGCCCATCAAGTGGTTCCCGACTCCGCCCTCGCTGGAGGAGCTGAGGGTGCAAGGACATAATGAGACCTGGCTGAGAAAGGGCTTTCTGGCTTAATTCAACCAGGAAACGAGGTCCAGCTTGTCTGCCTGCTGCCTCGAGGGTTGAAGAGGGAGGTCACTCTGGGTTCCTGCTGGAGTTTCAGCACCTTGGACAGTGGCTGCCCTGCAGCAGATGCTCCATGGATGGGAGGATTGACTTGGGGTTGGGGGATGAGGAGGAGGGTCTAGGTGAGTTGGGACACGGTCCTTGCTGGAGTGGGTGGGCTAACGGGCTGCGGGCCTCTCTTCCCCCCCGCAGGCAACAGTGCGTTCAAGTCGCCCGATGCTTTCAAAGTATCCCTCCCTCTCCGCACAAACTACCTGTATGGCAAGGTCAAGAAGACGCTGCCCGAGCTGTACGCCTTCACCATCTGCCTGTGGCTGCGGTCCAGCGCCTCGCCGGGCATTGGCACCCCCTTCTCCTACGCGGTGCCCGGCCAGGCCAACGAGATCGTGCTGATCGAGTGGGGCAACAACCCCATCGAGCTGCTCATCAACGACAAGGTGAGGCCAGCCTGGGCGCACCCTTCCTCGTCACAGTCAGGGAATCGCAGGGACTCTGACAGCAGGCTGTCCTCCCCATGGTGGGGACCGCCCTGCACGGACTCGCAGGGAGCTGGCCGCTGCAGCTCATGGAGACCTGAGCTGTGAGGCTGGGGAGAAACAGCCGAGGGTCCAGGTCAGAGGTCAGGGAGGCAGGGAATGAGCTGGGACACCTGCCTGCCAGTTTGAGTTGTCATGGGCCCTGAGGCCTGGCCAGGAGGGCGTTTCCCAGGACTGCACTGATAAGAGAACAGTGTGTACGTGTGTGTGTGTGTGTGTGTGTGTGTGTGTGTGATGGTTCTCGTGAGCATATTTTGTTGGGGGGGGGTGTTGAGGTATAACTTACATGCAGTAACTAACATGTACACTTTTTACTGAGCGGACCAGCGTTCACAGATGCAGCCCATTGCACACCCATCGCTGCAATGAGAACCTAAGGGTTGCATTACCTCCCCCATGTCCTCATTTCCCTGGTGGTCGGCTCCTCTTTGTAGCCCAGCCCGTGGCCACCGCTGACCTGATCCTCATCCCTACGGTCTTGCTTTTCTCAGAGCAAAAGTCCCCTTTTGATAGACAGGCTGGTTTTCCGGAGTGTGATCTCCCCAAGAGACAAGCTCTGGGCATCTGTGGGACCCTCCAGCAGCCCCACTCAGACATTCATTCTGGGGTCCGACCCCACGTGGCCAGAGCTGCGCCCTCACAGCCTCCTTGCTGGAGCTGAGTGTGGGGATGGCTGCCCGAGCCGGGGCGGCTCCACCCAGCCCCTCACTCTATCCGCCTTGGGTGGAGCTTGCTTAAGTGGAAAATGCGGTGTCATCTACCTGGCGGGCTCCTCCCCGCAGTGGCCACGTCTCTGAGCCCCGGAGCCAGGCACTAATGGTTTTAAATGGCTCCTTGGACACCGCCCTGAGGGCCAAGAGCCTTGTTTTCCTCTCCATTTAGACGCCCTGTGAACAGCCAGGTGCGGGGAGGGAGAGCCGGGGGTTGCTAGGACACCAGCAGTAACAACAACAGCTGGCAGAGGAGCTGGTCTGCAGAGCACTCCCAGGGCGAGAGGGGATGCGGGCAGCATGCCCCTCCCCCACACTCACATGCAGGTGCAGCTTTGTCCTCCGCTCGCAGGCACCCCACGCAGTCCCAGTGGGCGCTGCAGGGACACTGGGACCTCACCTGTGAGTGCAGGCGCCTGGTCTGACTCTTGGCCGGAGACGTTTGCCCAGGGTGCCCTCGCTGCCCGGTGGCTTCTCCAGCCCTGTGTCCACGGCCAGCGTGGGGCACTGTCTGTCACACCCGCTGGTTCGGCACAGTGTCCTGGCCCCTCAGCCACGCCAGGACCAGGCGTGTGCTGTTGAAAGCAGGGCTGCCCCGGGGCCCAGGTCCTGGTCCCCTTTTTCTTGAGTGTCTGCCGGCACCTGGTGTTCCCAGCCCGAAGGTCTCTCTGAGGAGCAGAGAAGGGGCGACCAGCAGGGACCCCGTGGCTCCGTCCCCCCAGCTCGGATGCCCGGGCCTCACCTACCTGTTGCCCCCCGCAGGTGGCACAGCTGCCCCTGTTCGTCAGCGACGGCAAGTGGCACCACATCTGCGTCACCTGGACCACGCGGGACGGCCTGTGGGAGGCCTTCCAGGACGGGGAGAAGCTAGGCACCGGGGAGAACCTGGCCCCCTGGCACCCCATCAAGCCGGGGGGCGTGCTGATCCTCGGGCAGGAGCAGGTGGGTCCGGGGGCTGAAAGATGAGAGCGGCTGGGCCTGCAGGCCGCCCCTCGCCCCGCCCGGCTGTCTGCCTGCTGGAGGGACCCCGTAGCATGACAGCTACCTGAAGGGATGAGGCATGTCCCCCCTGCCCCCCCACCACAGCTCTGCTCACACCGTCTTGCTGTCTGGGGTTGGGGGACCAGGCTGGTGCGGTGGGTTCAGACAGTTGACAGAACGGAGTGCCCGGGGGTCCCAGGTTGGCACCTGGTCGTGGGTGGATGAGCTGTTGACTTCAAAGCTGAGCAGGAGGCTGATGGGAAGGGAGGGGGCAGGTGCCAAGGGCCTTGGGGGCTGAGTCCCTGCCCTTCCGTGGCCCACACCCTGCTCTCCTCCCTGTCACCTCTCCCTGGGGAGGGGCTGAGCTGTGAGACAGGTCTAGACCTGGTTTTGGGACTTTGCCCAAATGTCTCCCCATGTACACTGGGCGGTGGAGTAAAGATATGTCCCGGCCCCCCCACCCCCAGCTCTGTCTCTCTCAAGCTGCCATCCTCTCCCCAAAGCCAGCCCACGCCCCTGCCAGGGGAGAGAGAACTGTGGGGGCAGGCGGGATGGGGGCCCCTTGCTACATGCTCAGGGGGCAGCTCCGTGCCTCAGGGCAGCTCTGACATGGCTCTGTCCCCTCCGCAGGACGCCGTCGGGGGCCGGTTTGACGCCACCCAGGCGTTTGTGGGGGAGCTCAGCCAGTTCAACATCTGGGACCGCGTGCTGCGCGCCCAGGAGATCGCCAACATCGCCAACTGCTCCACCAACCTGCCGGGCAACGTCATCCCCTGGGTGGACGGCAACGTGGACGTGTTCGGGGGCGCCTCCAAGTGGCCGGCCGAGACCTGCGAGGAGCGGCTGCTGGACTTGTAGCCGCTCCTGGTCGGAGGCGGGGGCTCTGCTCACGCCCTGGCTGCACCCTCGGCACCTCCTGCCTGACGGGCCTGAGGCTCTATGGCAGCACGTGCCTCTGGCTTCTCTGCTCCGAACCCCGGTTTCGCTGTTTTGGGGGTAGGGTCAGAGTCCCCGGGGAAAGCCCTGAGCCGCCGGGCTGTGATCTGACTTCCTCCTCGGGGGACTGTAGACCCCCAGGCGCTGTTCGGAACCCCTGAAAATGCTAGTGCACCCCAACCTGCCCACGCCTGGATCCTCGGTGTCTCGTGAGCTTCTCTGTGTGTCCCCTTCACAGGCTGTGCAGCCATCCCGTCCGAGTGGCCGTGTCCTTTGTGTGTTGAGTGCATCCTGCTGCCCCCTGAGCACGTAGCACGCAGCCCCACCCCACCTGCCCCCAGTCCTCTATGCCACGAACCAGGAGGGCGGGCAGCCAGACGTGCCCTGCCCCCGCCAAGGTAGAGGGGGGTCTGTGGCTCCGGAGAGGGAGCTGGGAGGGGTGCTCAGGCCACGTCTTGTCCCCTCTGTCGCCTCTCCCTTGGGTCAGTGCTTTGTCACCGCGTGTGGCTTTCCAAGGCCTCTCTCTCCTCTCCATGGTGCCAACGGTCCAGGCAGCTCGCCAGCCCCTCGGAATGCTCTGGGGGATGTATGTTCCCGGTGATGGAAAAGGCCAGCCAACCGCCGGCTCCCACAGGTGATGTCTCCCTGTGGCGAGCGGTCGGCGCGTTTTAATCCACGCTGGTTCCTGGGCGCACCTGACTGTCCCCGGCGCTGCCCCCGGAGCGTCCCCAGGGCCTGGGCGTCATCGGGCTGAGAATTTGCCTCCGGGCTCCGGGCTGCCCCGAGGATTGGACGGAGGGGGTCGTGGCTATTGTAAAGACAAAGCGATGGCCTGGGGAGATTTATAAAGCGAAATATCATATATTTTATTTTTCATACGTGTTCGAAGTGCAAATCTGTGGAGATCCCATGTGTAGGGCCGCGAGGACCTGCCCGTGCTGACCTTGTGTGGGTGTGCTCTGTGGCCGGTACCCAACGACCGGCCATGGAGCGGTGATTAAAGCTCACAGGACGAGGCCTGGGCGTCGGCTTTCTTTGCGTCCGGGGTGAGGGCAGGGAGGGAGGAGGCAGAATAGCCACCCTGCTTGGCCTGGGCCCGGCCACCAGGGGCACGGCTGGGCCCGGCGTCTGGTGGACCCAGGGAGCTGAGGGCGCTGGCAGGAGGGAGTTAGCCCTAACCCCCTGGTGCCCTTCCCTACTTAATCCAGGCCCAGGCGGTGGACGCCCGCAGGCTCCGCCCGGCCTCCCTGTCCCCCGCCCAGCCCTGTCTTCCCAGCCGGGAATCAGGTTCAGCAACACGACCTGTGGCTCCCTGCCCAGGCTTGACCTCTGTTGGGGCCCCCTCTGTGTGCTCTGCCATCCACCTCATCCCGGGTGAACACGGGATCGGTGAGGCAGGGATGTTTGCAACGTGCAGCTTGATCGGGAAGCTTGTCAAGGCCAGGCTGTGCATGTGTGGTGACGTGACCTTGGCCTTGACAGGCGGCTGGCTGCCCGCTGTTTTCTCAGGGAAGCACAAGGCAAATTTACCAGGCGGCTCCACCTCTCTCTCCCCAGCTGCCAGCGCCAATGTTCCCGGACACGTCTTAAAGCCTTGCTCAAGCAGAAGTAAGACACAGCAGATTGCCTCTCGCGGGGAGATTGACATTTCCTTGTCACTCATTATCCGACGCAGGAGAACATGTCCCCGGGGAGAGACGCAGCTCAGCCCTGGCCCTCTGTGGTGAAGGGCGAGGTGTGTGTGGGGGGATAACCCATCATGCAGGGTCTGTGTCTTGGCTCAACACTCAGGTCTGACAAGAAATACACCTATTTTCTTTCTTTTATTTTTTAAGTATATTTTATTGATTTTTTTACAGAGAGGAAGGGAGAGGGATAGAGAGTTAGAAACATCGACCAGCTGCCTCCTGCACACTCCCTACAGGGGATGTGCCCGAAACCAAGGTACTTGCCCTTGACCAGAATTGAACCTGAGACCTTTCAGTCTGCAGACCAACACACTATCCACTGAGCTAAACTGGTTAGGGCTACATCTATTTTCTTCAAAGGCTACTTATTGGGAGACATCACGTATACAACAGACTGGGTGTGACACGTACACACAGCTTTACAATAACCATCCACGAAGATTTGCGTACCGACCATGCGGTTTTAGGAATATTTGTTCAGTGCCTGCTGTGTGCCAGGTTCGATTGTAGGTACGCTGTAATTATCAAGGAACAAAAGGGAAAAAAGGTTCTGCCCTTGTGTAGCCAACATTCTGGAGGTTGACGGTAACTACTATCCACGGGAGTAAGAAAATTACGCTGATTTGTTAGAAGTTGGATCTGGGCTGAGGGAAAGGACGTGTAGGGCAGGAGGAGGAATAGAGTGTGGTGGTGGGGATGGGTTTGCAACTTAAATGACGTCTGTGCGGACTTGAAGGAGGGGAGAGAACTGTAAGCTTTTGGATGGTCTGTATCTACCAGTGCAATCTGTCAGCATGTTCTCTGCGGCCGGTGCCCGGGATGCAATGGCTGGGTGGAAAGATAGGAGCATCTCCACACTGAACCAGGAATGATGGGTTGGACTGTGGCTCCCCTCAGAGGTGGAAGCCCTAACCCCCTGCATCTATGCACGTGAATGTATCTGGAAATAGGGTCTTCGCAGATGGTCACGTTGAGATGAGGTCATTAAGGCGTGTCCTAGTCCAATATGACTAGTGTTCTCATAAGAAGGGGAAATCCGGACAGAGGCCACCAAGTATGGAGGGAAGAACATGTGAAGACACAGAGAATGGCATAACAGGCCACGGAACACCTGAGACTACCAGAAGCGAGGAGAGAGACCCGGAGCAAGACCATCCTTCCCTCCCAGCCCTCAGAAGGCCGTTGGGCTTGGGAGAGGAGCCTCCACGCAGCCCCCTCCTGTTCTATCTCAGGAGTTCCCATCGCAAGAAGCAGGAAAGCAGAATAAATAAATATACGTGTGCTTCCCGCAGAGAGAGGGGATTGCGGAGAGGAGACTTTCAGAAGAGCATTCCCGAGAGCGGCAGACTCACTCCCAGACGGGGGAGGACAGGCGGACGCTGGGACCACCCCGTCTCCACGTGGGGGACCTGAGGCCCCAGAGTTCTAATAAACCAAGGCTCACCCCCAGGCTTCTCCGCATGCTTGCCCCGCACCCCTTATTCTCTTAACGGTAGGATGGAATCGGTTTTATGCCCTGGCATGTAATTTAAAAATAAATTCAGCGTTTGGCCTATTTACAAATCGAGGTGTGTACGTGACTGATGAACCCGGAGCCAGGGGGGGTGGGGAAGGCCAGCGGGAGAGCCCAGCGCCCCAGCCTCGGGCTCCTGCAGGAACAGGGAGCCCCTGCTCGGCAGCTTGGGGCCACGGCCTCTGCCTCCCCAGCTTCTCTCCGCTGGGACCCCCCTGGCAGACACTGTCCACGTGCCTGGCATGCCCGGCCCTGACCCAGATTGTGGCTAAGCCCCGAGCATGCCCACAGGGCAGCACAGCCATGATGCACAGCCGCTCAGTGGCTGACAGCTGGTCAGGGAGGCCTGGTGGCTGAGGTGACAGCTGACTGGGTCTGGGCCCGCTGCACTTGCTGTATGGCCTTAAACAAGCTACACACACACACACCCTCCCCTTGCTGGGCCATCTGGCGAGGCCTGGAGCTTTTGGCATCCCTTGTCCCGAAATCCAGCCAGGGGGTCTTGAGAGCAATTTCTAAAATGTGCTCCAGGGGGCTGGCATTCATTTAAGCAATGTGACAGCTCAGAAAAGGCAGGCAGGCATGTGGTTCCCATTTCACAGATGAGGAAACTGAGGCTCGTGGAGAAGAAGGGACTTCCTAGTGCAGAGGAGGCTCGCTCAGGATCTGGCCTGGCCTTGCTGTCCTGAGGGCACACGTCACACAGAGACCCGGGCAAAGGGGGCGGGAGGTGGGGTTACTGCTCCTTTGAGGCACCTGGGTGGGAACCTGGGGCAGCCATCGGCAGGTGCCCAGGACAGAGCCTGGTTCCCATGTCCTCGGGGCTCCCCTTTTCCCTGCCGGGTTCTTTCTCTCTCCTTAGCAAATATTTGCCATTCCTGGGTGAGCTGCTGCCATGGTGACAGCATCCCGGGAGCGGAGGGTCCACGTTGGACCTCAAACCGCTTTAACATCCAAGACCCAGAGTCAGCAGCCGCTTCTTGGAACGGGTCTGCGGGGGACAGCGGCCCAGCGCCCTGGCCCAGGGGTCGGCAAACTCATCAGTCCACAGAGCCAAACTTCAACAGTGCAACGACTGAAATGTCTTTGGAGAGCCACATGTTTTAAACTTAAACTTCTTCTAACGCCACTTCTTCAACATGGACTCGCCCAGGCCGTGGTGTTTTGTGGAAGAGCCACTCAAGGGGCCAAAGAGCCGCCTGTGGCTCGAGAGCCGCCGTCTGCCGACCACGGCTCTAGGCTTACAGCCCTTTGCTGGTGGAGAGCTGAGGAGACTGGAGGAGGCTTCAGGGATTCCCAGACCCCGCAGCCCTGGGCGGGAAGAACAGCCCGAGACCACGCAGCACCAGCCCCGCTAGGCTCCTGGAGAAGCATCTGCAGAAAAACTGAATGAAGAAGGGCAGAGGCTGACACTCAGGCCAGGGAGCACCTGCCCCCCCCCCCCTCCCGACCTGGAGATGCAGTCAAAGCCGTGAGACGGGCCCAGCCCCTACGGGACCGACAGCTTTTCCCAGGACAGCGGCGGGCCATGGCTCGGTTTCCATCTCCGCTGGCCCGGATCGCTCCGGATTCATAACCAAACTCCGACAACCGGCAGGGGAACCGAATATTAAATTCCAATTAGCTGGAAGCAGAGAAAGAAATGACACGCCACCCAACTGGAATGCAAATCGTGTTTCCTGCATTAACATGGAGATTTTAACATCTCTCCGGGCGCCTCC